GACTGAACGCAGCTCGTCGCAGCAGCTCTTCGCCGCGCCTCCGCTCCTGATTGATGGCCCCTCCAGTCCAGTGCTTCTCCTTCCTTCTCTCCTTCCTCTTTTTCTTCTTCCTTCCTTCCTTCTTCTTCGTCTTCTTCGTTTCTAATTCAACCAAAAAAAAAAAAGAGGCAAAAACGACGTCGTTTTTGCCTTTAAGGGGATTCGGGGGGGACTGCGGGGGGACTGGTTTCGAGGTACATAGCATTACTCATAATATGATTTAGTATTTTATCTTTTTATTAATTTTTAGCCAAAAAGTTAGCTTCCCAAAATAAAAATTACACTAGAAAACTATTCAGTATATTTGGTTTCAATTTTTTGAATTGAGTTTTTTAAAAATTGAATTTTTTTATTTTTCGTATTTTTTTGTTTTTAGTGAATATTTTTAAAATTTTAAGTATTTTTTAAACTTTTTTAGATGTACCTTACTTATATGTATCTAAAAAGTATAATATTTGTGAAAAAATATTTTAAGAAATTAATAAATACACAAAAATATAAAAAATATACTGAATTTTCATATATATTTTTTATATTTTTGGTATTTAGTGAATTTTTTTTTTATAAAAAATTTCACAAATATTTTACTTTTTAAGTGTATTTATGTTAAGTGTGTCTAAAAATTAAAAAAAATTCTTAAAATATTAAAAAAATCAGTAAAAACAAAAAAATAAGAAAATAAAATTTTCTAAAAAACATTTTTAAAAAACTAAAAACAAACATGGTGATTTTTTTTTTTGAAAAGGGAGCAGCTTGCCTCCCGTCCAAGATCGGACTGGATGATACTGTTTGGTCTGTGAGATTTACCACAAGTCCCGTTTTGATAATCTGAACCGTTAAATGTGTAGATCTCGTCAAATACTATATGCTTGTAAAAAATCACATTGATCGGATATCCATAGCTATGTGATCAAATTAGTTTTGTATATAAAAAAAAATAGACGGTGAACAAATTAACGGTTGACAAAAAATTGATCTAAGAAGATAGCTATCAATATCCGATCAACGTGATTTTTTACAGCCATATAGCACTCGACGAGATCTACACATTGAACGGTTCAGAGTATCAAAACGGGACGTGCGGTGGGCCCCCACGGGCCGAATAGCACCATCCAGTTTGATCTCGGACTAGAGACAAGCTGCATCCTTTTAAAAAAAAAAAAAGTCATGTTAATAATTTGTACATAGAGACCTACAAGATGAACAATATTAAATTTAACCATGCTACCTAGCTCGAAAAATCAAAACTCGAATGGCTTGAAATTTTTTTTCCCTTTCCCTTCCTTGCCTTTTACATAGTTTCTCTCTCTCTCTCTCTCTCATACAAACATGACCGAGTCACAGTTCCAACCTTTCTCCAACAACAATAACAGAAGCAAAATCTTGATTTTTTTTGTTTTGTGCTTCGAGAAAGTAGATGGAAATGGAGGGAACAAAATGGGTTTGAGTTCTGAACAAAATTACCATTTTTTTTTCCCCTTTTCTTTTTCCTTCCCATCTCGTCTTCGTTCTCCCTTTGCTTTGGTCTTCGAAAAAATCAAAATCAAACAAACCACTAAATCCAAAAACAAATCAAAATAGAGTAAAGACACAAATCAAAATAAAAAAACAAACCCATAAACAAACCTACAACAACTGATTTGTGCATACAAATCAAAACCAAATCAAAATAAAAACAAACCCACAAATCAAAACCAAATCAAAGACAGATCTATGTGTGTATACACACAGGCCTATGTATATACACATAGATCTATTGAGAGAAGAGGGGGGAAGAAATCTATCGTCGTGTTATCACCGTCGCGCCACCATCACCTCTTCTCTCTTTCTTCTCTCTTCCATTTTCTCCATGTTTTAGAGAAAAGAGAGGGGGAAAAAAAAAATCAACCAAAACGACGTCGTTTTGAAATTCGAAAAGCTCAAAAATTTTGAAGTAGCAAGCTTTATTCTATTAAATTATAGAAGTGGAATCTCTATTAGATCCGTAGTCTTGGATTGGACTACTCCACTCAGTCCAATGGACTAGAGATGAGTTCAAAGTTCAATTCAATTTTTATTTTTAAGGTTGTTTGGTTGCTTTTAAAATGACCCAGTTAATATATGAGACGCTAGTACACCAAACTCAAGAGCTGTTATAAATCATTGAATGAATTTTAAAATAATTCATTTTATTTTAAAATTATGTGAATTTACATAATAAAATACATGTGTATGTATAATGTTTATTATATTTAGAAAATAATGATAGGCCTCATTAGTATTAAATAGGGTAAATTACAAATTTACTTCCTGAGATTTTATTAAAATACGAATCGCTCCCTGTAATTTTGAAAATTACATTCCATCCCTTTAGGTTTTTAATTTCATAACAAATTGTTCATTTTATTAATAAATTATTGAGTCAATTAACAATTTTTAATGATGTTAGAAATATGTTTCAATTAATAATTTAAGTAATTTTATTGTTATATAAGAGAACAATTATGAATTTTATTGTTAAATAAAAATTTTCTAACAAGGGGGCATTTATAATTTTTCAAATCACAGGAGATAATCTATACTTTAAGCAAATCTCAAGGAGTATATTTGTAATTTATCATATCAAATATGATAATTTTTCATATCAACATGACATTTGTATGGATACAAGTAATAAAAAGAAAAATACATCAAGATAATATGAAGTAAGAAAAAAACAAGGAAAAACTCATCCAAAACCTAAAAGAAGCATCTTCAAGTTCAAACATCAGAAGACATGACACCACTTTCACTACATTTACAATCAGTCAACAAAAGAAAAAAGAAAAAAGATAAAGAAAAAAGAAAACTATTTTGAGAAACAAAACTGAAAACAGTCAACAAGTGGGTCTTGGGACATGTTAAGTAAAATTAAAAATATTTTATTTTATTTATTGAACCTAATTTTATATCGCATTTATAATATTTTTAATGATAAATTACAAACACATTTTTGAAATTTACTTAAAATACAGATTTTTCCTATAGTTTTGAAAATTGTGTCCCGTCTCCTAAAATTTCTAATTTCATAACAAATTCTCCATTTAATTAATAAATCATCAAATTAATTAACAGTTTTAAATGATATCAGAAATTTATTTCAATTAATAATTCAAGTAATTTTTGTATTATATAAGAGAACAGTTATGAATTTTATTTTTTCAGTTACTTTTGTTAAACAAAAAATTATGACAATGGGATATTTATAATTTTTCAAATCACAGAGAACAATCTGTATTTTAAACAAATCTTAAGAAGTGTGTTTGTAATTTACTCTGTTTTTGAACATTTTAATATTTATATACATTAACAAAATTAAAAAACAAAATAAAATTTATCCAATTATAAATATAATTTTTCTTAAACTCTATGTGGGAAAAAATTATCACATAGATCCGTTCTATATCCTACATGGTATGTCATTGCAATTCTATTGGTTACATAATCATTATTTTTTATTTTTTCTCCTATGTATTACATAAAATAACGAATAAAATTAAAATGACACACAACCACTACAATACATTAGAGTTTTAGATACCAAGTTTTTTTTTTTATCTCTAAAATTATAAATTTTCTTACCAAACATATTTAGGGATTAATTTTAGTTGTTGTAAGAATAGTCGCTAAAAAGTTGTCTCGAAAAGTCAAAAAATGAGTTTTTAGGAACAATTTTGAAAATGTTGCAAATAAATATACTTTTAAAAATAAAATAATATAGTCTGAAAAGGTTAATAATTTATTACTAAATATCTAATTTTGTCACTAAAAGTAAAATAATAACACTTTTTACAATAAAAATATTTTATCTTTAAAAAATAATTTTATTTTTAAATTTTTAGTTTTAAAATTTTATTTTTTTTATAATAAACTTAATTAAAAGATAATTTTATCTTTGGTAGATATAAATAGTTTTTAAAATACAATTTTTTTTTTGATATTTATTTTTGTCAAATTAGTTTATATTTATCAAATTGACGACTTTGCCCTTAAAATTGAACAATAATATCTTAAATTATCTTTATTTGAGATAAGATTAAAAATTTATGATAAAATGTGTCACAATTAAAATGTTAAGAATTAAAGTGACACAAATCCCAACTTATAGAATCTGTTAGTGTAATTCATCCAAAATAAAACATGAAAAGTAAGTGAGTTGAATACAACAACATTGAGAAAGAGAACACTATCTTAATTGGTGATACAAATTTATAAATAAAAGGTTGATATTGGAGAATGATCCAATATTAATCCAAATTTCAAAAGATGTAATACGGTTTAGGGTTTTGAAGTTTCAGATTAATATTTCAACAGAGTTCTGATTTTGACTTGAGCAGACTCTATTTCGCATGTTCATTTGATTTCGACTAATTTCAATTTGATTTTGATTTTAAATTTGATTTTAGGGTAAATAATAAACACTAATCATGAGATTTGATTAAAATACGAATCGCTTTTTATAATTTTAAAAATTATATTTCACCACTTGAGATTTTTAATTTTCATAACAAATCACTCATTTTATTAATAAATCATTAAGTCAATTAATAGTTTTTAATGATGTTAAAAATATATTTCAATTAATAATTTAAGTAATTTTATTATTATATTGGAGGATAATTATGATTTTTATTTTTTTAATTAATTCTGTTAAATAAAAAATTCTAATAAATGAGTATTTATAATTTTTCAAATCACAAAAAGCAATTCATATTTGAAGCAAAACTCAAATGGTGTATTTGTACTTTTATCCAAAAAAATAAAAAAAATATTTTCACATACTTATTTACCTCTGTGCACACATTTAATAAAATATTATTTTAATGACAATTATACCTTAAAACAAAATGACCCTAATGGATATTAAAACACACCATTAATATTATATTAAAAAAATTCTTGTACTCATTTTAAAAATAAAAATAAAAATAAATTCAATGCAGCAATGTCTGAGGGTGCTGATCCCTGCAACAAGAGAGGAATCAAATCCACCAATGAAGAAGAAAGTGAAGATGAGAAAGAAGATTGGATTCGTAGGGACTCCATCCTTGTTGGCCATAGCCAAATTGTGAACAAGTTTCGCTATAATGGAGATTATCTGATGAGTTGGGTTTTGACTCCACTGGTTGATGGTTGATGTAGATTGACTCCACTAGTAGTTTGTCAATTGACACCACATTGCGTTAATACCATGCTACAAATTTAAACTTATGAACACAAAATTTAATCAGGAAAATAAATAATAAATTATTAATATGTCTTAATAGTTAGATTTAATTTTAATTAAGTCTTATTAAAAATAAGTCCTAACAAAATTGTCATTAAAAATAATTTTTTGTGATGATTTTTTGTATGTCTTTAAAAATTGAAAATTAATGACTTTTTTTTATCATGATTTTTATAAATTGTCACTAAAATTTACAATTATTGATTTTTTTGTGACAACATTTTCAAACTGTGGTTGAAAATTGAAAATTAGTGACATTGTTTTTAAATTGTCACTAAAACTAGTGACTTTTTTGTGACAAAACTTTTAAATTGTCACCGAAAATTAATAATTAGTGACTTTATTAATAGTGTTTGATGAAAAACGTCATTAATTAAAATAAGACCTATTGAACAATAAGTCCATTTATTAGAACTTACACGTAAGTCCTCCAAAAATAAATTAATGGTTTAAATTTATTTTACTTATGTTAGAAATGTTTTGGAAAATTTGGGTAAAACCAGAATTTTGTTCGAACTTTGGTCTATTATTAAGGTGGGACCCGTGCGCTAAAGTTGGCAGGTCTAAGTGGTAATGCGTTCTATGCTGCGTTGTGATTCACGTGGTATATTTGGTTGCTCAAAACCATTATCGGGTGAATGAGAAATTGAAACCAAAGTGTGTTCCATGGAAATGGAGTTTTTGGTGGAAATTTCTTAAAGTTTGGAAAATTGGATTGTTCCACATTGGTTTGGTGGGAAGTTTTGAATGAGTTTATATAGCTTGGAAATATAACTTGGGGAGGGCCCCAAAGGGCATCCCAAGTTTGTAAAAGGGAGAGGTTATGGTCAAATTAGGTTAGGTCCATTGGATCCAAAAATAACCATGCGCGCGTAGCCACCGCGGTCCGCCCGGGTAGCCTGGGCTTGGGTGCATGTGTGAGGTTGAGTTGGCCAAAAATATTTGAATTTAATTTAATTTTTTGAAATAAATCTGTCCAATAAATTCGAAATTAATTTCGAATTTCTGTCCAAGTTAATTTCAATTTTGAAATTCAAAACAGTTTGCCCTCTGTCCAACAGATCCGAATCTATTACAAACCCAGAACCGGTTTTGTTCAAAATTCAAACCTAAATAGATTCATATATGTTTGAATTCAAGCCCAAACAGTACCAATTTCAAACCAACAAGTTCAGTACCTATTCAAACAGGTATGCTACCTGTTCAATTCAAAATTAAAGGGTGCCACTACATCTATAAATAGATTAGCCCTCATTTGATGAATTCATTCACAATTTTTGTCCATAATAATTCTGCTATTATTCTTCATATTGCTGCATTAGTTTTCTGTGAGAAAGAGTATATACATTTAGTGTGTTCGTTGTACGAATAAATTGTAGTGCTGCATTTATTCGTTGTTTGATCATTTTATCCTGGGAGATAGACGTCCGTATTCTGAAAGTACCGTAGAGAGGACGAATCTGTCTCAAGGACACAGCGTCAAACACTGGACTTGATCAATATAATATTCAAGAAATTAATCAAGTAAGTTATTTATTTATATTCCTGTGTTATTATTATTTATTTAAATCAGATTTTAATTTTGTTTTTGTAACAAAATAAAATCTGTTTTTATTTGTTTAATTTTATTTCTAGTTTGATTTTTGTAATAAAATATTCTCCCTCCTTTCCTATTTTTCCTTTTATATTATGTTTGTCATTTAGTACCCAAACAGAATTAATTAATTTAAATACAGTGAAAATTGTCCAACAATCTTAAGACATAATATTTTTCTAGTGTCTTCATTATATTTAATTTTTTGTATTTTTACAAAAGTGATATTCTGGTTGGAAAACAAATAGTAATAATATACTGTTTGACAAATAGTAGTAATATACTGTCTTTTTCTTTGACAACTAGTAGTAATATACTGGTGTCATTAACAATTGCAGAACATTAATTTGTGTTACAGAAAATTATTTTGGTATTTCATTTTTCTAGTTTTAGTAACAAGAAAAATAAAATTATTTTGTATTATAATTTATTTTCTGGTTTTAGTAACTACAAAATTAATTTGTCTTTTGGTTTTTTCTGATTTTTGAAATCAGATATTATGACTACTGCAACTGAAACTGCAATTGGAAGTGGTACTCAAATTGTTAAACCAACTCCGGTCCCTATCCAGAATCATGTTCAAGTACCAATCAATCATGGAGAAAAAGGGAAAAAATTTAATGGTACTGAGTTTAAGAGATGGCAGCAGAAAATGTTGTTTTATCTTACAACTCTAAATTTGGCCCGGTTTCTCCGTGATGAAGCTCCAGTACTTAAAGAGGGTGAAAGTGATTGGCAAGTTGTTGCCGTTGTAGATGCTTGGAAACATTCAGATCTCCTATGCAGAAACTACATCCTCAATGGTCTTGAAAACATGCTGTGTAATGTTTACAGCCCTCTGAAGTCAGCAAAAGAATTATGGGATTCTTTAGAGAAGAAATACAAGACAGAGGATGCCGGCACGAAGAAATTTGTTGTCGGTAAATTTCTGGATTTTGTTATGGTAGACTCCCAAACGGTAATTTCTCAAGTTTAAAATTTTCAGATAATTTTGTATGATATTCATTCAGAAGGTATGTCTCTTAGCGAGTTTTTCCAAGTCGCTGCTTTAGTGGAAATGTTACCACCGACTTGGAAAGATTTCAAAAATTATTTAAATCATAAACGCAAAGAGATGACCATGGATGAATTAATTGTAAGATTGAGAATTGAGGAAGATAACCGAAAGACTGAAAAGAGGAATGAGAAAAATCCCATAGAGTCTAAGGCTAATGTGGTTGAACAAGTTCATAAACCACATAACAAAAAGATGAAGTTTACTGGAGATGATCCTAAATAAGGCGACAACAATAGCAACAAGAAGATCAAAGGAAAATGCTATAACTGTGGCAAGACTAGATATCGAGCTTCTGATTGCCGCCGCCCTAGGAAGGATCGCGGAAGTACAAGCAAGAAGACCACCAATCAGGCCAATGTGACAGAATTAGATTACATCTCTGACGAGATAAATGACATCGACCTCTCTGCTGTAGTGTTTGAGGCTAATTTGGTTGGAAATCCCAAGGAATGGTGGGTTGACATTGGGACACCTCGTTATATTTGTGCGGACAAGAAGATGTTCACTACCTACAATGAGGCTGCAAATGGTGAACAACTTTTCATGGAAAATTCTTCTACTTTTACTGTGGCTGGACAAGGAAAGGTGATCTTGAAGATGACATCAGGGAAAAAACTGACCCTCAACAACGTACTGCATATACCTGACATCCGGAAGAATTTGGTTTCTGGTTCTTTGCTAAGTAAAAATGACTTTAGGCATGTCTTTGAGTCTGATAAATTTGTATTAACAAAGAGTGGTACGTATGTTAGTAAGTGATACATGAGTGATGGTCTCTTCAAATTAAACGTAATGACAATTGTACCAAAAGTTGCTTTTAATAAGAATAACACATCTTTTGCTTATATTCTTGAGTCGAATTTATGGCATGGTAGATTAGGACATGTAAATTTTGATGCTTTGCGTAGATTAATTGGTTTGGATTATATACCAAAGTTTGAAATTGATCCTAATCATAAATGTGAGATTTGTGTAGAAGCGAAACTAACTAAGGCTCCATTTAAATCGGTTGAAAGAAAAACCAAACCTCTAGAATTAATTCATACTGATGTATGTGATCTTAAATTTGTTCAAACTAGAGGAGGCAAAAAGTATTTCATAACATTTATCTCCAGTCCTTCTTCTCTTAACCAACTGGTAGCAAAAACTATAGAGACTGCTAAGGATACTCCACCTTTTCCTCTAATTCCTATGCAGTCATTTCATCCTTCTACCAGACCTCTTTTTGCACCTTCCATGTTAATGGATAAGGTGGATATTTTTGAGGCTAGACTGGCTAGTCTTTTTGACATACCTTCCACCTCTCCAATGACTAGCAATGAGACTGAGCCATTGGTTCTAGCTGATTCTTTGCTAGAAATTTTTGAGAGCTCTTCTTCTAGTGGTAAGACTTCCTTGCCTTCGATAGACTTGGACAGCTGTGTGGAGCTGCTGGCATCTTTTTCGAGGATTTCTTTCGAAGCCTTACAAAGGCCTATAATCAAAGATGGCTTCCTCCAGTGCTGCAAGATTATTGAACAATCCGGCATGACTGTTTCAAGTCATTTATCTCAGGCAGCAGCCACCATAGATTTTTACATCAACATCTCTCATGCTGCTAAGGCTGCATAGGAGAAGTTATCGAGAGATCAGAGTTTTGTTTCTAAAGTTCATGCTGAAGTGTTAGAACTGAAAGAACAACATTTCTCTATCTCCCAATTTCAAGCTCAACTGTTGGAAAAGAAGGCTCAACTCGAGGAAGAATTATCAGCAGTTAACCAAGCTTTGAATCGAACTACTTCCAAGCTACAAATCACTAATCAAGAGCTAGTTGATCGAAAGCAAGAAATGACTATAGCTATTCAATTGTTTCCACCCGTCAAGAATAGAGCATCTATTGTAAAAGAACAATTTAAATACTGTACTGACTTTTGGGCCAATCTATAGCTACATGTATTTGACTCTTTATGAAATAAATTCTTATTTATCATTGAAGTGTTCTTATGTTCTCTTGTTTAGCGCTTATTATATTCATTGTGTTTCCCACACGGTTGGATAATATAAGGCTTTAAATATCTGTCATTAATCTTTTTGGGATGTACATATCCATTCAAATTTCTCAAATGGTGTGCTCCAAAAGGCAAGACTCTATGAACTTGATATGGTCCTTTCCAGTTAGGTGACCATTTGCCAAACTTATGGCTTTTAATCCGTATTGGAAGTATTGTCTTCCGTACCAAATCACCTTCATCAAAGCCAATGTGTTTGACTTTCTTATTA